ATACTTATTTCTTATTAAGTTAATATCTTAATAGCAGGATTAGCATTAATAGAGAGAAATATCCAGACCTCTGTGACTAACATGCAGTTGCTAATGAAATAAGTTTGAGAGAAAATGAGATGGTATTTTTTCTTTGGAAAATACAATATATTTGCATTCCTGTTTTGCTTTATATTTTGCTATGAAGTTTTATCAGAAGGATGTACAGAAAGCAGCTCATCATTCATAACAAACGTTAGTTGTCACCTGCGCATGGGAGTAAACAAAACAGTTGCTTTGATGGTAAAATCTTCTGAGCAGGGCATGTCCTTTGGTATATGTCTGCAACTCTTATGTTGTACTAGGGCTTTGTCTCTAGTTTTTAGACATTCTAAGAAAGTCAGCATTAAGGTAAGAAAAAATTTGGCATAGTCAAAAGCTAAAGCATTATAAAGCAGAATTTTAAAGATTTAGAAGCTTCTGAGAAAAGAAGTAGAAACAGTTGCAGAAAAAAGAATGAAAAGAATTTGCCAGCAGAGTAGTCTGTTACTTGTATGAAGAGTCACTGAAAAATAAGAATTATTGAAAAGATAAATTCCTTAGGACAGGAACCTTATCTGTGTATAAGTGCATGTAAAAACAAAAGTAAACTAACTTTTGAGGAAAAGCAGAGACAAGGTGGCTGTATATGATTCCAAGTTACCTAAAAATGCAATAGAATAAAACAGAAGCATATTATTCTCTTGGAAAAAAAAATAATGGAATCATAATTTAATGAAGCTCTTCATTAGCTGAGAGAATGAGTTGAGTAGTTAATGCAATTAGAATTCTTCATTTGAGCTGTCTTACTAACTAGGTCATAGCAAGGAAATATGTTTTCATGTGGTCATATGAAAACAGAGAACTGCTCTAGTAAATATATTGATTTTAAAGTATGTATTTTTATCTGTGAGGTACATTATGATAAGCAGTAAGAAAAATAGGCCAGAGTAGCCTATATTTTATGCTCACATTTGACATACGTGTTGAAATCTGAGATTAATGATTTTCCTGAAATTCAGCTAGTGGGAGAGGCTCCATGTGTGGCATTAGAATATCATATTTATTTCTCGTGAGAACTATATGTAAGCCTACTGTGACATGGTGGTTGTTTTTTTTGTTTTTGTTTTTTTTTTTTATTTGAAGGGAAATATCTGGGAACAAATTCTGAGAATACCCTTTCTCCTGGAAATAATTAATGCTGTCCCTTTCATCATCACGGTAAATATATTTGAATTAATACATTTACATATTGCATTTTTATAGCTGCATGAATATTTTTCATTTTTATTGAAGTAAATTTGAATCTTATGTGAATGACAAATTTGTACCTGTGGGAACAGAAATTTGTCAACAGCAAGAATATAATTTGCTATTTGAATGAAGTAATAATACAGAGCACTTTCCCCTTCCTCCCTGGTAAGGAACAAAAAAACCTAAACCCTTCCAACTACAGCACAATCAATAAAAAAAAACAGTTAGATATAAAAGTCCAAGAATCTCTGGTGTCTGCACTGAAAACTGACTGTCCTTATTTTATAAAATTATCTTACATACAGTTCATCACAAAGGAAGAAAAAATACCTTTTAAAGCCATATTTAAAGCCAGTAATAATACCTATTTTTTCTGAAGTGTTTAATTGCTGCTTGAACAGAAAAGCTCTATTCCTGAATAGAAAAGCTTTTAATGAATTCGTTAATTTTTCTTTCAGATTTTCTGGCCAGTCCTAAGAAACCTGTTTATTCCTGTATTTTTAAATTGTTGGTTGGCAAAGCATGCTTTAGAGAATATGATTGTAAGTATGACAAAGGAAATAACTATTTTATAGTTTCTATTTTTTTAGTATATTGTCTTTAGTGGGATTTCAGCAGTACAGTCCACTGAAGCTAACCAAATCTGTATTTAGATTATATAAATGGTCAAGCATTGCTAAATTGCTTTCTGCATCAAAATTAGAAAAAAATAAGACATCAAGAGAAATATGAATTAGTATGAATTGTTACTGTGCCAATAAGGAACATTTGGGATGGCTGGCTCTTTTGCTACTCTTCCATTCATAACACAATTGCAGGGAACTCAACTGCCATGCCTTAATTGGTCCTTGCAGCCTGTAATTTGTAAGCTAGACATGGGCAGACAGACCTTAAGGGAGCTTGCAATAGGATCAGAATTGTGCCAGGAAGAACAAAGAAATAATCACAGAATCACAGCTGGCTCTTTTGCACCCTTCTATGTGATCAGCAAATTCTAAGTGCATTTAAATGACTGCATTTTATCAGGGCACTATAGTATTCCTCTCTAGAATCAGCTCATGCCTTAATTCAAAACCAAAAATAACACCTATTTTCCATTAATATAGAATGATCTTCACAGAGCCATCCAACGCACACAGTCTGCAATGTTTAACCAAGTCCTCATTTTAATATCTACCTTACTATGTCTTATCTTCACTTGGTAAGTGGCCAAAATCCCTTTGTTTTTATTATATATATTGGCTTTTCTTCCTTTACTACATGGTGATAAAACAGGCATTGTAGAAGTCATGCACTGAAATAAAAAGAATGATATGCTTGCACTGCAATTATTAACTAGCACCTGGTAGTACTGGGGTCCTGATACACTGGGTTTGGAAGCAGAATGTCCATGCGTGGCAAGGGTAATCATTCTTGCTCTAAGGAAGGAAACACAAATGATGCAAAAACACAGGAGAAGGCAGTGGGGGGAAATTTACATATGTACCAAGAGTGCAATCTCAGCAGAAAAGTCACTGAAATTTGAAAAATACCAACAGGAGTACCTCATGCTAAGGTCACCTTCCTCTGACTGTTGGAACAGACAGAGAAAAATATGCAAGATCTCAGCCTTATTACTCTGATGACCAAGTCAGGTTCCCATAATGAGTACAGGGGACAGCTCTTAATAATCTAGATTCCAGATAGTATAGATTTTATTAACCTAGATTACAGAAAATAGTGGATAGTAGGTTCAAGCAACCAAAATGTGTCACTCTGAAGAACTTTTTGCTGCAAGACCTTGAAAACTTAAGTTTACAGGAGTTTGGGAAGCATGGAGAAAAATCTGTTGAGAACATTAAATATAAACATACTTGGTTAATGAAATTAATGAGCTGCAGATTATTGGAAGCTAGGAAAAGATCCACAGGAAACACCACTGTTTTTATGCTATGCCTTAGGGATCTGCTGTTAACCAGGGCTGGAAACAGATCAAGTAGACTACATGAGTCTTTGGTCTCACCCACAATAGTCATGCTTACATTTGTATAAATGGATAGTGGTTATAATGTAGCTTGGTAGCTTACTTAACATACAGAATTTTCTCAGCAGTAGTGCCTGAGAAGTATCACATACAGGGGAAAAAAAAGTAGAGGAAGAACGTGTGCGTTACAAGATGCTATACAAGGGGGCAGTGAACAGAGAAGATGATTCTGTGTGGAAAATCTAAATCACCTGTATTTATTTTGCCTGATGGGGTGCCTTTGAGTCAGCACACTGATAAAGTTTGGTCTGTCATTTTGGAAACAGTGATTTGATTTTCTTCTACTTTATTTCTTTAGCTTGTTTTTCTGATCACCACTTTTATGTGCTACCTAACCCTTTTGGTAGTATCATAAAGTAACACATGACTTTTTCCAGTCATGTCCCTCTCTGTCCTTTATTCAAGAAAAAGAGTTTATTCTAGCCAGTGGCTAAATGAATGGTCCGATTTTACCCTTTGTCTTATGGCCAGACAACTGCATAATGACAAATTCTGCCAGTTCTAAACAGTAAAATATTTTTATGAGATTAAATTTCCTGTTGACTATTAGAGCCCTTTAAGAGAAAATTTTATGTGAATAAGGACTACAATACTTAAACCAGAATGCATAAAATTCTGTCACTGTAGCACTTGGACATTTTTAATTTGCTCTAATTTTGCTTTTTAATTTTTTACAATACAAAGCACTCTTGAGTAAATATGACTTCACCTTTTTTACTAACCTACTCCAATATTTTACTGAACTGCTGAACAAAATGTGTATCCAGTTCTCACTGACATGAGAAGCTAGTAACAAGAATGTTCCTCTAAGAATTCACTGTGATGATCCCTGGTTGAATAAGGTATAGAAGCTGCATCTAAACAGAAAATCATGTTTACCACCAGGCATTTTGATAACTGACAGCAAAACACACAGAAAATGGCAGGCTCACCTACAGTAATTATGTCTGGTCTCAACAGCTGCAGATACCAGCTCATTATAGATCATTATATACTGACCTAGTATTGACCCTGCTAGACTGCAAAATAAGCTGAATAGGATGAAAACACCTAGTAATGCAATAACTAAGGAAATGAAGTACTTTTGGAATGACTAAGAATAGTTGTTCGGGCATCTGCAGCTTACCCAAGACTGGAGTTCTCTTTAGACAATTGTTACTACTGCTCACATGAACACACATCAGGCCATTTTTACACTTTTTTACCTACTTATGTATGAATTTATATTACAGAGTATATTTTTTAAATATCTAAAAAATTCTCTATAAACAGGCAAAATCAATTAGCTTAATATCTTTGATTAAGTTACATCTATGGTGAATTTGAGACAGCGTTTCATTTTAAGAGACATCATTTAGAGCTTACATGAGTTTATTCAGGCTGAAAGAGGAGCAAAGTCCATTTCTGGAATCTGGCCACCTAAGGGTGGCTTTCACCAGACTGATCTTTCACATTTTCAGCAACAGTTAGCAGTAACCAAGTGTATTTCCCTCAAACACGTATGGGAGCCAGGACTAAACTTATCCATATGTGTAATGGAGCAGAACACAAAAAAAAATTTGAGCTAGCACCAGTCTGTTTTCATAACCATGCTTTGGTTACATTTAGAGATACTGCCTTGGTCCATGAAATGCCATAGCTTCAGTAATTCAAAATGAATAAGGCTAGATTAGTAGCCTGAATACAGCACTTACAGTTTCAGAGCGCTTTTCCCTTAAAGTATATTCAGTATCATGGGGACATACTCATGGTGTGCTTTTGGCACCCTGATAACTGCCCTTGTGCTGCCTCCCTGCTGACCTTTTAAGGTTAATGACACAATGACTTCCAGGCACTGTGTGGATTAAATTGTAACACCACAGGTCTGCTTAGTTCCTGGTTGACGCGTTTGATTTTACCATCTGCTTCAACAGGAACATTGGCTTCTCAGCACTTCTGAAGTCAATATAACTTTACAACCCAGAGTTCTGTTCAAAACCATGCTTTTTTATCAGACATCTAGAAAGTGCTGGCACACAGCTTTGTATGGGGATGACATCATTTTATAAGAAGTCTAAGATAGTATGAAGCCCAGAAAGACTCCTCTTTCTCCTTCCGTTTTTTACCAGTTCAGTTAGACTGGTGCACTGAATAAGTGCAGCAAAAGTGCTTTCTTACTGCTTCAAGGGAGACTGAAACTTTTTGTAAGTCTTTTGATGGTCATTTCTATGAGAGAATCAGAAAACAAATAAATGCTCAATGTATCTACTTTCCAGTGATTAGTTCATATCTAAAAGATATGCTCCTTAATAATTTTTTCAGATTTCTGGGTGTATTTTTAACATATTTAAAAGTAGGTTTTTGCTGAGGTGCAGAAGAGGTGCTTTCTTTACTTGTGGAGTAACAGAAACCTGTAGTTCTGTAGTACAAGCATATTGGAGCTGACATGTCTCCACTGATAATTCTGAAAGTACAATTTTGCTGCAGAATGTATGTTACAGGATCTTTTCTGAAAGCTCATGTTTTTGCAGAGTAAGAGCATGTATCTATCAGAAGATACTTATGATCTTTGTGCAAGTTCAGTTAGCAGGAATCTGCCTCTGCTGTCTATCTGTCTAGTCAGAACTGAAATTATGCTCTCTTAAATGTGGAGGAGCTGCTCAGCCCCAGTCACTTAGAAGTGCTTCAGCACACCCAGGACCCTGGGGAAGAACATGGCTGGACCTCCTGTTCTCCTGATGGTTTACAATGGAGGGAGAAATTTTGTTATGTCTAAGCCCAGTACATTTGAACTTGTTCTTCTAGTGTGTAGACAACAGCATTGCATTTGTTACCATTTGACTGGCTGTCTTTCTCTAAAGAAATGTACTTTAAAGATCAGTTTTAGGGATCTATGTTATGTACAGTAGCTGCAAGAAAACAGCATGTTTCTAGAAAACATTTTAAAAAATTATAAATGCATAAAAAGAGCTCTTCCTCATCAGCTTTACTCCTGTCTGCATATAAATATTTTCAAAATAATTTCTGCCATAGCTAGCAGAAAACCCACAGAAAATGAATTAAATTCTGCCTGATGCATCATCAGCAAACCCATCAGTTACATCACCACAACAAAATCTTTTAAGTGTTACACATAAGTTACACATATATATGCATTCCAACTTATGTCTTATAACTCAGGTGTAAGCTTTCAGATGGAAAGTTAAAAAAATGAATAATGTTTACAGCTAATTGGCTAATCTCAAAAATTTTAGGTATCATTATTCAAGCTGTCCTTTGCACTCAGAATATAGTGGGAAAAGGCTCCTTTTGTATTTTTGTATACACTTGACAATTTTCAACGTTATTATAGAACAAACAGTAATCACAACAGAATTCTTCCTCTATTCCACTCTTTGATTTTTTTGTGATTGTTGTTTATTGACCTGGGAGTAAAACTCATTTGCAGATAAATAAATTCGTAAGACCAACTCCATGTATCTGTAGTTAATAGATTACATACAAAGTTTTTTTCTTCTCTTCTGATTTCAAAGGCAGATTAAGCCATCCAATAATTTTTCTTTCTTTAAATACCTCAGTGGCCTCCTAACCAGAGCAATTATCCATATACTAAAAGAGGTGTACTCCTATAATATCACACTATTCAGCAGCTACTATTGATGGAGTTCTAGTGGAAGTTACAGACCTAGTCAAAGTATATGTTGTGTCATTTAGCTAATGGATGTTTGCACTTATTTGTCAAATGGAATACTAATCATTTCTGTAAACTGTACAAGAAGACACATAACAGTGAATGACTATTTCTGGCATCTTTCTGTGACACAGTGAATCATCAATTAGGACTTATTTTGCTTTTTAAATCAGTGTTAGTCATATACCACAAGTGTAGAATTATTACTTTGTGAAAAAGGTGGCTACAAACTGTTTGAGATGGGCATTTATTTTTTTCATACTAAAGACTAAGAAGCCTGCACAAACTTTGCTTATGTCTTCATTGAAAGATCACTGAGGTCAGTCTTAACATTTTTTACCCTTCAGTGCTTTCAACATCAGAAAATTAGGAAGTTTCCCACACATAGATTTACAGAGTAAATGTAGTATGCCAAGCTGATACTGCAGCCTCAATGTCAATTACACAGTCAAAACTGTCATCTGGAGGAGACAGTGTGAATAAGTTTCTTGTAAGGTTGAAAACAAAT